TCAGCACATGCCTGAGATTAGCACATGCTGGTGAAATTATTCCTCAGAGCCTGGTTCCCCTTTCTCACCGGGCCTGTGCCAGGATCCTTTAGTCCTCACTTCTCGTGAACACATCCCCTGAATGGCAAATGGGAGCTAGGCTAGTAAAGGACTGAAAGTACCACTTCACCTTTTGACATCCCTTTGGTGTTCTGCGCCTCTGCTGTGCTGCCCAAGCCCTACTTTATGCACATGTGATCTTTTTCAACCCTCCCTGACTGCACACTGTGCAAAACGGTGAACGGCCTGCTCCCAGCCCCACAGAGGTCTCTGGCTCCTCATTCACACTCTCTGCTCTTGGCCAGATTTCTCTCTGTCCTCTGTGCAGGTGATGAAAAGCTTAGAGGACGGGTACCGGCTCCCCCCACCCGTGGATTGCCCATCTATCCTCTATGAGCTCATGAAGGGCTGTTGGTCGCACGATCGGTTGAGGAGGCCTCACTTTCAGGAAATCCGGGCACAGCTGCAACATTTCATCTCAAGTCCCCAGCTCCTCCGGCCCGTTGCAGACTTTGATCCCAGGTAAGCAGGCTGTCACTGGAGGAGGAGGGGTTAACCAGGTAGAGTTTTCACCTCCCTCTCCCCAGCTGGAGGAGAAGTCGTGCCAGTGCTGCAGGCTGGCCATCGGCCTGGGCAGCCTGGCCTCACGGTGCAGGGAGCAGGTAAGTTGGCCTAGCTCTGGCAGGGGGTGCTTGCCCTTTAGCTACTCTCTCACACTACTGGCCATTTAAGGTAGTCACCTGGCTAATGGGGGTTTTATCTGTCTCTAGGGTAACGCTCCGACTCCCCAGCTGCAGCGGATCTGATGGGATCCCCTATCGATCCATCCCTGAGTGGCTGGAATCCATTCGCATGAAGCGCTACATCTCCAACTTTCGCACTGCCGGCCTGGACACCATGGAGTCCATCCTGGAGCTCACTGCTGAGTAAGGGCGGGCTGAGCTCCCGCGGGGCCCCTCCGGCTGTCCTACAAGTAGCTGTGTCTGTCCCTGTGCTGCCTGCACAGGCACTCGGATTTACTTGGAAGGCTTCTTGCTATCCTTTGTATCATTAAACGGAAGTGGGCTGGCTTCTTGCTCTGAAAGGGAAAGATAAGACTGGAAGAATTGGGATCAGCCCAGAAGAGTGTGAGACTAACTCCCCAACAGCCCGTGCTGGAGGCTCTTCAGGGGCCCGAGCTGCTCCGAAGTCACATCAGGCACAAACAGCAAGGGGAAGCAACAGGTGGCAGACAGTTCTCCTGACCTGACCCTCTCCCCACCCTTGTAGGACTTCATAAGAGAATTGTCCTGCCTTAAACTCCAGTGGCGCTAGTGGTACCCCCCACGTCAGCCAGACACTGTCGGTCGTAGCGCAGAGTCCTTCCGGGCTCCTCAGGAGGACTCGGGTCAGATGCTCGGCTGACGCAGGCGCGTTCTGCTGTAGCGTTGGGGACGTACAGCCGGCTCCAACCAGGGCAGTTCCATGGCACGGATGCGCGGGCGCAGTGTGGGGACAGACCTGCTGAAGGACTGAGCTGTGGTCCGCAGCGCAGGCGGACGGGGACACGGTCCTCATCTAACGGGAGCACAGGTCGAGGCATGAGGCCAGAGAAGCCAGTTAGCTGGGTGGGCAGGAGCAGCTGGAAGTTTATTCCCTGTAGAGAAACGGTAGGCATAACAGGAGGCACTGAGGGAAAGGAAGCTTTCTGAAGCTTTCACATCCCAGGCCTCAAGGGACAAGAACAGCAATTCATTTAGGCCTGAAGGGGCTACAAGGAAGCTGGGGGGGCTTTTTACAAGGGCCTGGAGTGACAGGACAAGGGGTAACGGGTTTAAATTGAAAGTGGGGAGGTTTAGATTGGATATCAGGAAGAAGTTCTTCCCGGAGAGGGTGGTGAGGCACTGGGACAGGTTGCCCAGAGAAGCTGTGGAGGCCCCATCCCTGGAAGTGTCCAAGGCCAGGCTGGATGAGGCTTGGAGCAGCCTGGTCTAGTGGAAGGTGGCCCTGCCCATGGCAGGGGGGTTGGAACTGGGTGGTCTGTAAGGTCCCTTCCAACCCAAACCACTCTGTGATATGATACGATTCTATGATGTGATTTTTTTTCTTTTCCCATTTCCTTTCAAGGGACTTGAAACAGATGGGAGTGTCACTTCCAGGCCACCAGAAGAGGATCCTGTGTAGCATCCAAGGCTTTAAGGAGTGATCGGTCGTTGCGCTCGTAAGCTTGCTGAATGCCAGTCCTTACCGGAGATCACTTGGAATCATTCCTATGGCAATTGCTTCCACGTGAGTGACTGGGAGAAGCAAAGCAAAGCCACCCGAACTGAAGAGGCTCGTGAGGCAACACCACCCGCTCTCCTTTCTGTTCTCCCTCGCTTCAGCTCTGCAGCAGCCGTGTCAGAACGGGCCAGAGCACCGGCCTCAGGGCCCGTTCTCAGCCCTGTCTCCGTCGGCGCCGCGCTAAGCGACCTCTGTGGGCCGCGTGCCGGAGTTTCTCGGCCTGTGGCACGGAAGCGTAAGGATGCATACGGAGTGGGTTGGGGTTAGGGGACTGTGCTTTGAGATTGGAGCCGAGCGTTCAGACGGACTGGGACTTCCGGGGAGCGTGCGCAAGGACACAGAGGCGCGGAGATCGGGCCCGTTGGCTCCCCGGCATACACCCCTTCCCACTTCAGCAGCCTCTGTCTTCCTCATCTCCCAAGAGGAACGAACTATTCAGTCTTTCACAAGGCTGCCGCTAAGGGCCGCGTGTTTCAAGCCAGCTCTTTCTGCCTCGCACGCCAGCTCAGGGCGTACTTCTTTCTTTGGAGGGGAAGCCGGGGGTACCCGCGCAACCCGCTGCCAGTGGTGTGACCCGGCGCGTTGCTGCTTCGCGCACGCGCTCTTCAGCGGGGGGGACCTGGGGCTCTCCAACCTGCCCAGTGCCTTTACTTGTGCCATGCACAGAACAGTCGTCACGTACCCATTTTTCTCTGCCCCTTTTTGAGAGAGAGAATAGTCGTCTTTGGCTGGATAGGGTGTTTGTAACAGAAAAATGTGTGGGTGGTCTTACTCCTTCTCTGTGGAGGAAATGTTATTATTTATCAGAGCTCAAGGCAATTATAGGCTGTAAATAATATTTTGTAAATAAATCCGTGGCAGAGCCGGCTGAGTTGGGAGTTCTTCGGCTTATTTCAAGGATGATGGGGACCTTTATGTGTTGGGTTTCTGTGTTGGGGGTTTTTGGTAGTGGGGGAAGGGTCACAGGGGTAGATCTTGTGAGAAGCTTCCGGAAAAGCTACAGCCCTCATCCCCCTGCGCCGAGTCGGACCCGCGTCTGGCCACGGCCGAGCCAGTCAGCGCCTCGGCCAACGAACACGTTGAAGAGGGAAGAACACACGAGAGGAGCAGCAGGGGAAGCGGAGCGGAGGGAATCAGCAGCAGAGAGAGGATGGGATGCCGGGGAGACACAACCGGGCAGACCCCCAGGTCAGTGCGGAA